ATTATATATATATATATATATATTGATTAGAACACTAAAATTTGACCAAAATACCTAATATTTAATCAAAAGAGAATTCAATTTTTATACAGTTGCGGATTCAAGCTAAAACTGATGCGTACCAATTGGTATGGAATGATATTGATGACCTTGCGTTTAGACCTAGCAAACATGTCAGATTGGGTGGGTTCGGATTGGATTATTTTGAATCTCTGGTTGTTTGGATTGGATCATTTCAGGTATCGAGTTAATGAGGTTAACTCATGACCCATCCACATGGGTCTCGGATTGCATCAAGTAGACCCAACTTTTAAAAAATTAAAATTAAAATTTTTCTATATTTTTCTCTATTTTTTCTTTAACAAAATCTGATACTAATTACCTATTTAGTTAAAAAAATATTACTAATTAACTATTTAGTTAAAAAAACTTATTAAGCATTTAATTTCCATTTCATAATTCAATTTTTTTCCAATCTCAAGAAAAGAAAAAAAAAAAGAATTAGTGATTATACAAGTAAAACTAAAATATATGTCAAATATATAATACTTATACAATATTTAGAATTTATAATTTCATAAAGGTATTAATCTTCATTAAAAGAAAAGACATGAAGAATTAGAGTTTAAAAGACAAATCTAATATATATATTAATATCTAGTGCCTATTCAATATTTATAAGAGTATTATACAAAAAATATAACTCTATTCAATATTTAGGAGGGAATTATACAAAAAAAAATATAACCTTATTTAATATTAAAGTTAAAAAGGCAAATCAAAAATATGTCTAACCAAATACAAGAAGAATTGGATCAGAATTGATTTTTATTAATTAGGAATAAATTATTAATTAAGAGCAAATTATTAACTAAGAACAGATTTTGATGTCTCTAATGTTCTTATCTTTGTATTTCTAATAGTTATGAAGATATCTTAACCACTAGGTTTTGATTTTCAGTAAGCATTTTTGCTTTTTATTTTTAAAAAATGATCTTTTTTACGATGTCATGTAATATAACTCATTATGTGCCACCTAATCTAATTTTTTACGCGAGTGCCATCAAAGATAAAGATTAGAGAGCTTGAGATGAAGCAAGAGAGAGGAAAAATTGAGAGAAAGTGAAATTGATGAGAGATTAGGGTTTTAGTATTTTATTTATTTTTACTTTTAGGATTAGGAAATTAGAAATTTAAAATTAATTTTTAAATAATCTAATAAAAAATGAATAAAAAAAGTTCGGGTTATTTCGGGTGACCCAACCCACTCGTGACTCAACCCATTTAGATTTGAATAATTTCAGTCCGACTCATTTCAAATTTTGGATTAGTACATAGAACCTATGACTTTACCCATAACGGATGGATTGGGTCAAATTTTTGGATG